CAGCCCTAGAAATCAACTTTATATGTCATATATATATATATATATATATATATATATATATATATATATATATATATATAATCTATATGGTGGGGGTCCACAGATAGGATTATTAAATAGATAATGGGTTTGGTATTTGTCTGGCATGATAGTCTTTGTGGAAGAATTTGGTAAATGTCTCCTTCGGGTGAAGGAATGACCGGAGAAGAATGCATCTGCTTAGCCATAAAATATATGTGAATTTGTATAGTCGTGGATCAAATTCTGAAGAAAGATAATAACCCTCTCCTGTTTCTCACTCTAAAAGGTATGCACTCCTTAGGGATGACTCATCCATCCCTCTCCCTCTCCCTCTCCCTCTCCCTCTCCCTTCAATTTTTTCATCCCTCTAACTAAACAGAACATAAAAGGTATGCACTCCTTATATTAATATTATTTTTATTCAAGTGATATTGTACATAATTATAAGGGTAGATTCTATCACTTTTTTATTTATTATTTATTTTATTTAGTTCATAAAAGTCATTTTTATCACCTTTATTGTTTATTAATTTATTAAATACGTCTTATTTATAATTTAACCGCTATATGTGGTATGACTGATTTATAGTTTAACCACCCTTATTATATTTATTTTACATGGATTTGGTTTTACCACTTATATTTAATGACCTATTCATTACAGTTAATCTTAATGTATTTATTATTCATTCAATATACCTAGTTTTACTGCTTTTTGTTATTGAATAATAATGGCAATACATAGTCTTTTACATGCTTGATCATTATTGGGTGATCATTTTTTTATACCGAATGAATCTTCAACAAAGCTAAAAGTTGCTCAAGTTGTATATATCATACCAACATTTAAAAAAAAAAAAAAAAATGGCATTCTTAATCAACTTGACAACTTCGGTATATTATATGTTCTGTGTAAAGAGGAAAGCAAAACTGTTTGGGAGGATTTGCGCCCGGAGCAGGCGCAAATACTCTGTAGTTTATTTTCCTGCAGTAGTCTCCTGTAGTTTACATTGTTGAGGCCTTGCTTTGGCCATGTATTCCATTTTAACAATTAAAATCGCTTTTTCCGGGTTTACATTGTTGAGGCCTTGCTTTGGCCATGTATTCCATTTTAACAATTAAAATCGCTTTCTCCGTTAAGGGAACTTTTTATTAAAATAAAAAAAAAAAAAGAGAAAGAAATAACAAGAGTCAACACATTAGTGACATTAGTTAATAAGCACTGTGTCAATACTTAGTTTTAATGGTAAAGGTGATCAGTGTGCCTATTTATTAAACTTCACAATATTTTTTCAATCATAAATAACAAATAATAACCTCTGGAATGTGTAATTATCGCATACATTTAATACAAAAAATTTTGGGTAAGACATTGGTTCTTAACGAGGCCAACTCAGTTCAAACAATCAATTATGCAAGATTTTACATTCATTATGATACTTATTGAAGATTATAGAAGAAAACCCTACAATTATACAAGATTTCAGAAACACTAGAATGCCTAACCAATGTCAATTTCAACTAAAAAAGATCATAATTTGGACTAACAGATGATAAATGAAAGAATTAAAAATTCTTAAATTTATTTGTGCCATTAGTTATTCAGCACTGTGTCAATACATAATTTTGATGGTGAAAGTGATCAGTATGCTTATTTATTATATTTCACAATGTTTTTTCCATCATAAATATCAAATAATAACCTCTGAAATGTGTAATTGCCGCGTACATTTAATACCAAAATTTTTGGATAAATGAAGCCAACTTAGTTTAAAAAATAAATAAATAAATAATTATACAAGATTTTACATTCACTACAATGCTTATTGAAGATTATAGAAGAAAACCCTACAATTATCCAAGATTTCAGATAAACTAGAATGCCTAATCAATGTCAAATTCAAGTAAAAAAATCATAATTTTGGCTAACAGATGGCAAATGAAAGAATTAAAAATTCATGTGTGACATTAGTTATTTAGCACTGTGTCAATACCTAATTTAGATGGTGAAGGTGATCAGTGTGCCTATTTATTAAACTTCACAATATTTTTTCTCTCATAAATATCAAATAATAACCTCTAGAATGTGTAATTGCCGCATACATTTAATACCAAAATTTTTAGATAACACATTGGTACTTAATGAAGCCAACTCAGTTCAAACAATCAATTATTCAAGATTTTACATTCACTACAATGCTTATTGAAGATTATAGAAGAAAACCCTACAATTATCTAAGATTTCAAATACCCTACAATGCATAACCAATGTCAATTTCAACTAAAAAAGATCATAATTTAGACTAATAAATGACAAATGAAAGAATTAAAAAATTCATAAATTTATGTGTGACATTAGTTATGAGCACTGTGTCAATACCTATTTTTGATGGTGAAGTTCACTACAATGCTTATTGAAGATTATAGAAGAAAACCTTACAATTATCCAAGATTTCAGATACCCTAGAATGCATAACCAATGTCAATTTCAACTAAAAAAATATCATAATTTAGACTAACAGATAACAAATGAAAGAATTAAAAATTCATAAATTTATGTGTAACATTAGTTATTAAGAACTGTGTCAATACCTAATTTGGATGGTGAAGGTGATTAGCGTGCCTATTTATTAAACTTCACAATGTTTTTTCTCTCATAAATATCAAATAATAACCTCTAAAATGTGTAATTGCTACATACATTTAATACAAAATAGGCACACTGACAAATGAAAGAATTAAAAATTCACAAATTTATGTGTAACATTAGTTATTCAACACTGTGTCAATACCTAGTTTTGATGGTGAAGGTGATCTGTGTGCCTATTTGTTAAACTTCACAATGGTTTTTTTCTCATAAATATCAAATAATAACCTCTGGAATGTGTAATTGCCACATACATTTAATACCAAAAGTTTTGGATAACACATTATTACCTAATGAAGCCAACTCAGTTCAAAAAATCAATTATGAAAGATTTTAGATTCACTACAATGGCAGATGACAAATGAAAGAATTATAAATTCAGCTCTAAATCTACAATGTTCAGTTCAAAACATAAATTTCCCTATATTTTGAACAATAAATGAACAATACTATTAAATGCACAATATTAATAATATGTATTAAGACTTACCAGCCATGAAGCATTAATTAGGTCAATTGTAGATACCAGCTCAGGTCCATTGTAGATTTCTTTCCTATTGATGAAGAGGAGAATCTTATTGAAGAAATCACCAATTTCTGGAAGGTATTATGTCAATCTGGGTTTTGATTCAAAAAAGGAAATAAAAAAGTAAAAATAGAGGAGGGAGGAAGTGGGTTTTGAATAAAAAAGAAATTCAAAAGCAATATGTTTTTTAATTCTTTCATTTGTTAGTGTGCCTATTTTGGTATTAAATGTATGCGGCACTTACACATTCTAGAGGTTATTATTTGATATTTATGAGAAAAAAAAAAACATTATGAAGTTTAATAAATAGGCACACTGATCACCTTCACCATCCAAATTAGGTATTGACACAGTGCTCAATAACTAATGTCACACATAAATTTATGAATTTTTAATTCTTTCATTTTGTCATCTGTTAGTCTAAATTATAATTTTTTTTAGTTGAAATTGACATTGGTTATGCATTGTAAGGTATCTGAATCTTGGATAATTGTAGGGTTTTCTTCTATAATCTTCAATAAGCATTTTAGTGAATGAAAAATCTTGCATAATTGATTGTTTGAACTGAGTTAGCTTCATTAGATACCAATGTATTATCCAAAAATTTTGGTATTAATGTATGCAGCAATTACACATTCCAGAGGTTATTATTTGATATTTATGAAAGAAAAAACATTGTGAAGTTTAATAAATAGACACACTGATCACCTTCACCATCTAAATTAGATATTGACATAGTGCTAAATAACTAATGTTACACATAAATTTATGAATTTTTAATTCTTTCATTTGTCATCTGTTAGTCTAAATTATGATTTTTTTTTTTACTTGAAATTGACATTGGTTAGGCATTCTAGTTTATCTGAAATCTTGAATAATTGTAGGGTTTTCTTCTATAATCTTCAATAAGCATTATAGTAAATGTAATATCTTGTATAAATTTTTTTTTTTTTAACTGAGTTGGCTTCATTAGGTACCAATGTTTATCCAAAAATTTTGATATTAAATGTACGCGGCAATTACACATTTCAGAGGTTATTATTTGATATTTATGATAGAAAAAATATTGTGAAATTTAATAAATAAGCACATTGATCACCTTCACCATCAAAATTAGGTATTGACACAGTGCTGAATAACTAATAGCACAAATAAATTTAAGAATTTTTAATTCTTTCATTTGTCATTTGTTAGTCTAAATTATGATCTTTTTTAGTTGAAATTGACATTAGTTATGCATTCTAGTGTTTTTGAAATCTTGGATAATTGTAGGATTTTCTTCTATAATCTTCAATAAGCATTATAGTGAATGTAAAATCTTGCATAATTGATTGTTTAAACTGAGCTGGCCTCATTAGGAACCAATGTCTTACCCAAAAATTTTTATATTAAATGTATGCAGCAATTACACATTCAAGAGGTTATTATTTGATATTTATGAGAGAAAAAACGTACATTATGAAATTTAATAAATAAGTACACTGATCACCTTCACTATTAAAACTAAGTATTGACACAGTGCTCATTAACTAATGTCACTAATGTGTTGACTTTTGTTATTTCTTTTTCTTTTCTTTTTTTAATAAAAAGTTCCCTTAACGGATATAACTGAGAAAGCGATTTTAATTGTTAAAATGGAATACGTTGCCAAAGCAAGGCCTCAACAATGTAAACCTGGAGAAAGCGATTTTAATTGTTAAAATGGAATACGTTACCAAAGCAAGGCTTCAACAATGTAAACTGCAGGGGACTGCAGGAAAAACAGACTACGGGGGATTTGTGCCCGGAGCTTAGGAGGTTTATGGGTGGCAGTAATGCAGTCAGCAATTTATCATTCATGTTGGACCAAAAATAAAAAAATAAAAATAAAAAAACCACCACCACCACAACAACAGCAACTTTGACACTTCACCCTCTCGAACAAACTACAACTTTGAGACTTTTAACAAAGCTTCAATTCAAAATCCTCCTAAACAGGATTTGTGCACCATATTGTGGTTGTAGGGTAATAGATTGCATGGGTGCATGAACGTACGATGGTGATACCTCAAAAGAATACTGTTGGATGAGCATAGCTAGAACGACTTTTGCTTCAACCACAGCTAAATTTTGGCCTACACAGATTCTTGGACCTAACCCGAACGGAAAAAATGAGGCTAAATGCTTTCGATGCTCAGCAAATCTCAACGGTTTGAACTCATTAGCGTCTACTCCCCATATCTCTGTGTCATGATGAACAGCAGTCATGGCCAAAAAGAGTTGCGTGTCAGCTGGAATGTGGAGGCTCCCTAGCTTAACATTTTTGGCCGTTTGCCTCATCAACATCACCGCTGGGGGGTAGAGTCTTAGTGTCTCATTGAGTATCATGCTCAACTGTCAAAAGAAAATATAAAAATGTCATAATAGTTTAGATGGTTTCTGTTGTGTGTGAGCAAAAGGAGAAGCAATATCAAAGATGCTGAGCCGATAAGAAATATCTTGTGAAAGGATTGTTTTGTATCAAACAGTAAATATACATGTTAACATACTACTAAATCAGCTGTTAAACTATTGTTTTAGTCATGAAGCATGTTGAATTCACAATCTTCTACTTGATTGTGGTCGTTCTATAATGTACCACTATGACAAGAGAGGTTAAGTTTTCTAAATTTACTCATCCATATTGCTGATGTTACAAGTCTTAAAAGCAAATTGCAAGAAAAGCTTTGTTCTGCTCAAGTTGTTGATATTTCTTAGTGTAAGACTCGTCCTATGCTGGGGTTTAAAGAAAGGAAGTTGCCTAATAGGGGGTTCGTCTTGTTACTATGCACTGAACTGTCTAAGGAATAAGGATAAATGTAGATATTTAGGAAAACGGAGCACAGCTAGAATCCAACTGGACTAGTGTCCACTTTCTTTTGCTGTAGCATGCCACTTATTCTGTTCTGCTGAGTGCAGAGTATTAAGCATATTGGTGTCACTTCTTCATTTCACTAAGGAAGGTTGTACAAGATACTGAAAGCACTCTCAAGGCATTTTTCTCATTCGTTCATACTTAAAAGAGGAAGAAAGCTAAGGTTGTCAGGGTTGCTGTGTCAAGGAGGAATAAAGGCTTGTGTTGCTTTGTATTTTCTAATAGAATGAGGCTTCTATGATGTGGCAGATCTGGTCTAATCTGTCTAAGGAAGTCCATTTGTGTTGACTGGTGAAGAAAACTGAATTTAGGGGACAAGTTTTTTGGGATATTCTAGACCCTGTTGATTGTGCCAGTCTCAGAAGAAGATTTTGAAATTCAGGGATAAAGTTTGGTGCTTTGTGACTAGGAACCATTCCAACTAGGCACCATTTGGACTCACGGCTACAACGTAAACTCCGGATATCCGCAATCACGCGCAAACTATGGATATAGCATAAACTAGGATTCAAACCTGAAATCTCAAGGCAGTAACCCTGAGACCCAACCATCTGAGCAACCCTGACAGGTTATAAAGCTTGGTATTTTTTGTGAATTATTGGGAGCACATGCGCCTCTGTTTCTATCAGTTGAATGCGCTTGGTCCTCTATCTATACTAATTGGTCCTCAGCTAAAAATTATTATGCACTTGCCAGACTCAAGGATGGTTGGTTCAGCCTTGCTGTGGTTAATGCATAACTCTTTGCCTACTGTTCATTGAGAAATTTTGTTGTGTGGATAAAAACAGTCCCAAGGACTTTTTCTTGGTTTCATAAAAGCAACTCTTGTAGACAGGATGGATTGTTAGCTAAAGCCGGCAGCTTCACCATAGACTTTGATTTTGAGATCTAAGTGTGGCATGTCAAGATGAAGAGGGACACGGGACCAACTTGTAAAGTCGATGACTATGAAAGTTTAAAGGGAAATTATACTGTGGCTGTTGCTGCACTGTATACCAAAATTGTGAATAACTTTAAAAAAATGGATTCCATTGTGCAAGATGTAGCTAAGAATGTGAGAAGAAGAAGGCAAAGAATGTGAGAAGAAGATTTGCTGGTCACTCAGGTATTTGTGACACTCCTACCAACAAGTTATTATGCCATCAGAGTAACATCTCAGTTGTGGGTTGCTAAGCTTGGTATTGAATCCCTACATGGCTACCTTTATCCAGGCTGGGTTTATTTGGCAAGGTTCTCGTTTATGTGGTAATATTGTGTCTATTGTACTTTCCTCGTTTTCTTTGTTAATGGGTGGTTAGGATCTATTAAATGCCTTACATATTTTGGCTTGGCAGTTATTGTGTCTTTTTGTGTCAAGGAAGGAGTATGCCTCTCTGTGTTGACATTCTTGTCGTGTAGAGTGGAGTTCCAACATTTTGTACATTCTTGTTTTTTTTATCTAAATCTCTTATCAAGAGGCGTGTGGCCCAGCGGTACTAAGCCCCTACTTCCCAAAGGGAGGTCAAGGGTTCGAACCTTAGTGGAGGTATGTGTGTATGAGTACCAACTATGAAAAAAAAAATCTAAATCTCTCGTCTTGCCCCAAGAAAAGGGCATAACACTTTCTGCTCTTCTTTCTTACTCTTCTCCTTTTTTTTTTTTTTTTTTTAGGGATTCTCCCGTTCTATGACAAATTTCTTTTAGAGGATTCTAATTCAAAATATTGTGGCATCCTTAACAAAGTCAAATGACAAGGGTGGCTTGTCATTTGTAATTAGATTTAGCCATTTCAGTAAGAAGTGATGACATCACTATATCACCATACTTTTGCACTATACTGTTGGAAAAAAATTTCCATTAGGAGTTGTGCTACTGACATGACTAAACGGGACACAATTTTATTAAAAACTCAAAAATTATTTAGGCATTGTTTCAAAACTTGGTAAGTCACCTGTAATTTACTTACCATCTTGAAGTCATTTAAATTTTCTGCAGCAGGGAGCCCATTGTCTCTGCAAATGCTAAACACTTCTTCTCGTGCCTTACTCTGCCATTCTTGATGCAATGCCAGGAGGAGAAGTGCCCAAGTCAGAAGATTGGCAGTTGTTTCCTTTCCAGCAAAGTAGAAGGTCTTGCATTCGCCTATGATCTCCTCTACCTGCAATCTCTCCTCTTTTCCATCCTGAGTCTTGTGGGCAGACATTAACAAGGAAAGTAGATTTTTAGAATTTTCTCTTGTTTTGTTGTTCATCTCAATTAACATCCTAATAGAATCTCTTGTTTCTTTCTCCAACCTCCACCTCATTCTGTTTTTCTTAGTGGGCAAAAACCTGTATACAATTCAATTTTTGAGAGGAAAAAAAAAAAAAAAAAAAGCTTTCGGCCAAACACAAAATAACAACTCAAAAAAGCTAGTTCTGCTAAGAAATGTTTACAAAGGATAAGTATTTTCTACTATCTAGAGGTATTAATAATAACCAACTATACCTGAATCCAGGAATATAGATACTCCTTATAGCCTCTAATACCAGATTAGCTTGCTGTTCTTGTAATTCAAAAATGCGCTTCCCCTCTTCAAAACTGCTCCCAAAAGCCGTTCTTGATATAATGTCTGCTGAGAGGTTATGAAGTTCTTTGTGCACGTCCACCTCGAATTCATCTCTCCCTCCACTTTGTTCCTCCCACTTCCCCAGCATCTTAATAGTACTAGCCACAATTTCTGGCACCAAACCCTGTCAAAATATAATTTAGGCCAAAGAAATTTAGGAGCCAGAGTCACCACTGTCAAAGCATTCCTATGAATATTAAGTCATAAAACTAATGTTAAATTTGCTTGGACTTGACTCAGATTAACCCCTAGAATATTTTATAATATATATATATATATATATGTATGTATGTATATATCTCCAAAGATATAAATTAGGTATTTATGGGTTATACTGTATCGAATGTATAATGTATACTGGTTCTACTAAAAATGTTAGCATGACCTAATACTGGTAAAACTTTAGCTAGCCATAGTAGCAATAAATCAGATTAATCCAGGACATAATAGGAAGTCAAATGTTAGCTCATCTGTAGGACAGGGACATGTCCTACCAGTTCAACAGATCCAAACACCAAATCATCCAACACACAAGCCACATAAAAGATCTTACACTTCTCACAGTAACATGTTTCTCTTTAGCATTCTAATGGAGATTGATAAAACAATTTTTAAATAATGCAGAGGGGCAAAATTAATCCAATTTTTAAAATCCAATTTTTTAAAAAAAAAAATAATGCAGAGGGGCAAAAAAAACCATGATGTTTAAAATTTCTAAACCCAATAATAATAAAAATAGTACAAGGAGGGGATTACCTTAACCCTCTCCATGTTAAAGGCCTGGCTGGTGATTCTTCGGTGAAGAGCCCAGGTCTCACCCACGAGCCCAAGAAGTCCATCCCCCAATAGCAGCTTTGACAGAGGATTGTAATCGATCTTCTTGAACGAGCCACTATTGTTGAGCAACACCTCCTTAATCATGTCCTGGTCGGCTATAGCCAAACGCGGCTTTGGCCCAAACCAATACAGGAAAGTCTTCCCATAAATGGTTGACCAGTTGTGGTAGTGTGGAACAACCCGATTCAGGATATCATGGTTAAAAGCGATTGGTCTTGATTCAGCTTCGGCGAGCATACGCCGTCTGATCTCGGCCGCGTTTCCGAAGATCAGACGGTAGCTAGGACCCAAAATGCCTTGTTTCCTGAAGTGTTTTTGAATCTTCAGTGGAACCCAGATGAGTGAGTGTATGAGTTTGAAGAAGAATATTAAAAGTAGAAAGATTAGAGTGAGAAGGAGAAGATGCATGGTTGAAGGTCAGAGAGTGAGAGACAAGGGGGCGAAATGAATCAATTGATGGATCTTGTTTGGTGATCAGATTTTAGAGGGTGTTGTTTTTTTAAGGACAAAAGAGTGCGTTGAAAATTGTATGATATATGTGTTGCAATCGTTGTTGACCAAATATCACTAGGGATGGGGTACTCACTGGTAGCAAAGCATTGTTCCAAAAAACAAAAAAAAAAAAAATTAATAATAATTTTGTATTAAACAATAATATGAAAATATATTAGTTTGTTATATATGAATGTCTGTGTGGTTCCACTTGTCATTGATATATAGATTAAAGGATTTGAGTGGCAGGGCAGCTTGTTGCAAAAGCTGCTTGTTGCCCACGAAATGATGCCTATAAATAGGGTTACATGTATACAATAAAATGGTGAAAAAAAATAAAAAGGCATATCTCTCTCTCTCTCTCTCTCTCTCTCTCTCTCTCTCTTCTCTTTTCATTTCCTCACTCTCTCATATTTACATATCTATTTGCTTGTATCAATTTATATTTTAATGTCATATTCATAAGATATCTGTACAAGCTCTAACCATTTGAAATTTGAACAAGAAACCCTCTCTCCCTCTTTCTATCTCAACTCTATATATATCTTTTGTGATATTAGTTTTGATAGATTATTAAGTTTGTTTACTTTACTGAAGAAAATTATATTTTTGACTCCAAAAGGTAAGAAAATTTTAATTATTGATTATTGTTAATAAATTAATTTGTCAACTTAAGTGATATATGTGCTCACACTATGGTTAGTTCTATCGCCTTTATTATTTAATGATTTACTAATTATGGTCGGTTCTACCGCCTTTATTACTTAATGATTTATGGCCAGTTTTACTATCTTTATTGTTTAATAATTTATTTACTATGACTGGTTTACCACATTTGTTGTTTAATCATACTGGAATTATAATAGTTCATATTATGTTGTTATTTCACTTAATGCCATTTGATTATTAAGATATACGTTTATTTTTATACTATGTTAAATTGTATTCTTACATTGTTGTTACATGTAGTTATTCTGAAAATGTCAAACTTGACAAAGCTGGAATTCGTGACCTTGGACATTTCTAGCAAAAATTATTTATCTTGGATTCTAAACGCTCAGATCCATTTAGATGCCATGGGTTTTAGAAACATAATTAAAGAAGAGAATGATGCATCATTATAAGATAAATCAAATGTCATGATTTTCCTTCGTCGCCATATTAGTAGGAACTAAAAACTAAATACCTCACTGAAAGAGATTTACTGAGTTTGTGAAAAAATTTGAAAGAAATATATGATCATTAAAAAATAGTTATCCTCCCAAAAGCTCGGGCTGATTGGCAGCAACTATGGTTGCAAGATTTTAAAATGTGACTAAATAGTAAATACAATATTACCCTATTTAAAATCAGCTCTACACTAAAATTGTGTGATGATATACCATCACTAATGAACTTTTGTTGGAAAAAATATTCACCACATTTCATGCTTCAAATGTACTCTTACAACAACAATACTGAGAGCGTAGATTTGAAAAATATTCAGAGCTAATATCATGTTTACTTGTGGCTGAGCAAAATAACGAGCTTTTATTAAGAAATCACCAATCCCGTCCAACTGGATCGATACCGATCCCTGAAACATATGTTGCCTTATCCCGTGGACGTGGACGTGATTGTGGTGATAGAAATGGCTACAATAATGAATACGACCGTGGTAAAATAACTACCACAATAATGAATACAATTGTGGTAAAAATAACTACCATAATAATGAATATAGTCGTGATAAAAATAACTCTTATTACCGTAAAAGATATCAATCCTCAAACTTTCACAATTAGAAATCCACACCATATCCCTAGAGGAGAGATTATAATGAAATGAAATAAGTAAAAGGGAAGGATGTAACTCAACCTCCCACATGATAATACTTGTTATCGGTGTGGAATGACAGGGTATTGGCAAAGCATTTATTGTACATCTAAGCATCTGGTTGAACTTTACCAAGCCTCCATGAAAGAAAAGGGGAAACGGAAAGAAATGAATTTCATTGATCATGATGAGCCAGTTGACACCCAAAATCTAGATGTATCAGATTTTTTTGAGAACCGTGATGGAAAGATAGACCACTTGATTGGTGATGGAAATGCCTACATGAATTAATTTTATTTTCATTTCATATTCTTTCTACTATGTTATCTTCAACAAATTTTTATTTCGCTAGTATTAAAGTTTTTTTTAGTAGTATTCAAGTTTGTAATAAAGTTTCTTTTATTATAACTGTTTCTTTTCTAATAAAGAAATTTGCATGAATATGAATGAATCTAACTGGTTCCAAAATAAATGGTGCAGATATATGTCTTGCGGATAGTGGAACAACACACACAATCCTTCGAGATCAGAAATATTTTTCTTACCTAACTTTGACAGACGCTAGTGTCAGTACAATATCAAGTCCCACCGACTTGATTTAAGGCTCCAAACGAGCCAACATTACTTTACCACGTGGAACAAGATTACAAATTAATGATACCTTATATTTTACAAGATCTCGGAGAAATCTGTTGAGTTTTAAAGACTTGCGTCGTAATGGGTATCATATTAAGATTGCAAATGAAAGAAATGTGGAATATCTCTACATTACTTCCATTACCTCATGCAAGAAGTTGATATTAGAAAAACTCTTTATTTTCTCTTTTGGGTTATACTATACAACCATTAAGACAATTGAGTCAAATGTTGTGATACATAAAAAATCTTGTGATAAAAAACTTTCTATAATTTGACACGATCGACTTGGTCACCCGAGGAGTACAATGATGAATCGAATTATTGAAAATTCACATGGACACCCACTAAAGGATCAAAAAATCACCTTACCAAATAATCATCTACGTACCGCCTGCTCACAAGGTAAATTAATTATTAGACCATCCCCTTCAAAAGTCATTGTTAAATCTCCCCTATTTTTACAACGAATTCACGGGGATATATTTTGGCCAATTCATCCACTCTGTGGACCATTTCATTATTTTATGGTCTTAATTGATGCCTCAACATAATGGTCACATGTTTGTTTGCTTTCTACTTGTAATGTTGCATTTGCTAGACTTCTTGCTCAAACCATCAAATTGCGAACACATTTTCCTGATTACCCAAATAAGACAATCCATCTTAATAATGCCGCTGAATTTTTTTCTTAAGCTTTTGATGACTATTGCATGTCTATTGTAATTAATGTTGAACATCCTGTTGCATACACTCATACTCAAAATGGTTTGGCAAAATCTTTTATTAAAAGACTTCAGTTAATTGATCGTCTTTTGCTTATGTGAACAAAATTACCTGTTCATATACGACCTACTGCTTACCATAAGTTTTCACCGTTGCAACTTGTTTTTGGTTAACAACCAAATATCTCTCACATACGAGTTTTTGGCTGTGTTGTATATGTTCCAATTGTACCACCCTAATGTACTAAAATGGGTTTTCAACGTAGACTTGGAATTTATGTTGGTTTTGATTCTCCATCTATTATTAGATATCTTGAACCCTTAACAGGTGATGTCTTTAAAGAATGGTTTGCTAACTGTCATTTTGATGAGACTGTTTTCCCATTAGGGGGAGAAAAGGCACAACAACAACGTGATATTGGTTGGAATGTCCTAGAATTGTCTCATTTTGATCCTCGCACAAATCAATGTGAAAGTGAAGTTCAGAGGATCATTCACTTGCAAAATATTACAAATCAATCACCTAATGCATTTATTGATACAAAAAAGTAATAAAATCACATATACCAGCTGTAAATATTCCAGCACGAATTGTTATCCCTGAGGGACCTTCTGTCAGTAGTGCAGCAAATGCATCTAAAAAAACGCCTAAAGCGTGGTAAACCAGTCAGTGCAAAAAATATTGTTCCTCGTAAGAGGAAATCACAAAGTAAACTTAACACTCCTGAAGATGACACAAAAAGAGTAACAGATATTATTGATTAATTTAAGATTATAGCCTCTGATAAAGCAAAGGCTCTTGATGAGGCCCAGGTACTTAAAAATGATGAGATCTCAATAAATTATAGAACGAGATGAAATACAAATGAAATTATTATCGACAACATATTCTCACATTTCGTTACTCTTGATATTAATAATGAAGATCCAGACCTTAAAACGTCAAAGAGTGTCGACGAAGAAATGCTTGGCCAGAATGGAAAGAAGCGATACAAGCGGAACTAAATTCATTAGCTAAACATGAAGTATTTGGACCTGTAGTCCAAACACTTGAGGGTGTCAAGCCTGTTGGGTACAAATGGATATTTGTATGAAAACGTAATGAAAAAAATGAAATTATAAGATACAAAGCCCGACTGGTAGCTCAAGGTTCCTCACAGTTCCTCACAGAGACCTGGTATTGATTATGAGGAAAGATACTCCCATGTGATTGATGCAACCACATTTAGATTCATAATACATTTGGCAGTAATAGAAAGATTGCATATGCATCTAATGGACGTAGTTACAATATATTTATATGGATCACTAGATAGTGATATTTATATGAAAATCCCAGAAGGATTTAAAATGCCTGAAAGAAAACCAAGCAGTATGTACTCGATAAAATTACAACGGTCCTTATATGGATTAAAGCAATCTAGACGAATTTAGCATAATCGCCTTAGCAATTATTTACTCAAAGAAGGGTATGTGAACAATCATCTTTGTTCATACATTTTCATTAACAAATCAAAATCTTGTTTTGTTATTATTGCAGTATATGTTAATGATCTAAATCTTGTAGGAATATTGGACGAGATTGAAAAGACGTCCACTTATTTAAAGAAAGAATTCGAAATGAAAGATCTCGGAAAAACAAAATTCTACCTTGACCTGTAGGTTGAACATTTTTCGAGCGGTATTCTCATCTGTTGAATATAGGAGAGTGATAGAGATATATGTTGAATATGTTCTGTATATTCAAGTGTGTATAAAATATGTATAAGGAGAGATATATATAGGTTGGAGATCACCAATGGCTATACAACAATTACGGCAACAATCTAGACAACGGCTATAATTTAATGTAATTATGGT